ACTAGTAGATTCTCTGATTGTTGCACAATACAGGTAGTCTCTGGATTAAGGACACCCAGGTTACAGATTAACCTGCATGTTACAGTTAAGAACAGAGCCTACTGTAGCAAAATTCGAGTTAAATACACAATAATTCAAGCTGAGTACACAATGGTTCAAGTTCATTACACAACAATCTTATACAAATATTGTTCCGGCTTACGTAAAAATTCGACTTAAGGACAGAAATTCGAAATGGAACTTGTTCTTAAACTGGGGACTACCTGTATTGCACTGGTGTAGCCCTCTGTTTACAATCTAATCAGAACTAAAGAAAGCCTGAGAAGCAGCAGCAGTGGTGGAGGGACCATTCAGATGGACAATCCCCAGCACCACCCCACCCCACCCCACGGTCCTCAGACCTAGACTATTCACCCTGGTTTCACAAGGTGGCTATTCAGTGCATCTAAACAGCATGGATATCACATGCCCTGGAGTTCTATGAATTCTGTTCTCCTGAATGTCACATGGGTAGGGGGCATTCTGCAGAAGTACATAGACTTATTTTATCCCTCCAAAGGGAAGCATACAAACATTCCCCCCACACCACAAAACACACCTCACAAGCATGCATCTAACCTAATGGTTACACTAGGCTAATCTCCAAAACTGAATCGCTCAGTGACTTCATGGCTTAGGTGAAATTTGTAACCTACTCTCTGCACTCTGCTCTCGCTTCCCTATATTGATCTCATCACTCCATCCTGTCATCCACAGGAAATAAGATACGAGGACAATCTTTTTTTTCCCTTTCAGTCTTGACATCAATAGTTTTGACTGTAAGAAAGCTGAGCGGCCCTATACCCGAATTTCTAGGACAACCCAGGGAACGATATATGAGCCTTAGGTTTTCACCCTGGCTAAAGGAGGCATGGAAGGACCTTCTGCGTCTTCCCTAACAAGATATACTTACATACTTGGGCCTTGACATATTCCACATATTCAGCAGGGCTCAGGGCTGGGTGACAACGGATGGTCTGAGGGGTGGCTGTGGATGGTGGCCGCAGAAACGGATGGTGGCAGATGCGGGTGGTATGGATCGTCAGCACATAGGAACAGGACTGGGGCTCATCAACACGGGCAATGTAGTCTCCTGAACCTTCCTCACACAAAAACTGGAATCAAGGTAAGGAAAAACCAGTGACACTGTCTTATGAGAGTTCAACCCATTGGGGCACTGTAGTCTGCTGTCTTCTATTCTACACAACTCTGACAGGCAACATTTCTGTATGGGTTCGAGCAGCGCTTCCCAAACTTTTTCCTTTGTTATCCAAAACCCCAACTTTGAATAGTCATTGAACAAATGGTCGTAACTCGAGGACTACCTGTATTATAAAAACAGTATCACTGAATGATCTTTATTTCATTCCAACAAATTACTATTGGTAATTTCATCAATTTTCATATTAATAGGAATATTTTGGGAGATTTTTTAATATATTTTGGTACATGTGGCAATCTTTAAGTCAATTTAAATGTCCCTGTTGTGATTGGATAATGGGTTTGTGTCGTTACCCAAAGAAAAACCACTTTTACCCAATTTGGGGTAATTTACCTTGGTTTGGGAAGTACTGGGTTCAAGCATCAACCTTTCCCAGCCTTCTCCCAGAAACCCTTTTAACTGAGGATGCCCTGGAATCCATTTTGGACCCATTCTACATTTAAAGTTTGCATGCTCTTATCATGGAGCTATGGCATAAAAGCTATCCCAAGACTGCTTTCATGAATTGGGGAAAGGGAAGCAAAGGAAAGAATAGCTGGGTCATCTCATTTTGAAAATAGCAGGCAAGGAACTAAAATCCCTCCAAAAGGATAAGAGAGAGATTCAGTGCTGGATAAAAGTTCAGCCTAGATCAATCACTAGTTTAGTGGCCCACAAAATTCTTTTTTCTGAGATGCAGAACTACAAATGAAAGAAGGGCTCTAAGAGGAAAGGTAGTTATGATAAAGCCACCACTAGGCAAAAATGAGTCAATCAGTCAAGCAAGCAAGCGAATATCTATCATGCCAACAATATGACTAGGGGTCTTCCTCTAGTACTCTCCTTTGCAGAAAACATGGGGGCAAAGAAAAAGCACAGTTTTATGCTACCACCCTGCCAACTTAAGTCTTCTCAAGTCAGCCCTTCTCTTTCCATAGCTTTCCGCCCAATTCAGTGAACTGAGTTCCCTTTCTTCTTACCCTGACTTCAGCCTCCCTGGGCTTCCCATTCAGGTTACACTTGGATCCATTGACATAGGTCTGACTGTGATACCGCTTCAACTTGTGTTGCTTTGATGCCTGCAGTTGGGGTGAGAAGTAGGGACAAAACCAGAGAACTCTCAGGCAACATTTCTGGGTTCATAGTTTAGAAGTTATTTGCTTCAAACTAATGGCATCCCCCTCCCCTCCCCAGCTGTGAAATATAAATTTGTTTAGAGCCGGACTTAGAAACAAAGAAGACATACCCCAAGAATTCTTGCAATTTATTTCTAGTAAAATTCAGAGATTTTTCTTGTTGTCACCCTGGATTTATGCATAGATAATTATCATTAAACTGTATGGAAAGGGAAGGGAGGGGAGTGACAGGCTCACTGGGGGTTGCTCATGATGCAACAAGCTAGAAAGCATACTGAGGCAATTCTTGGAGTAACACATCAAGCCCTGAAGAATTCCCTGGTCATTTTGTTGCAGAGCCCTCAATGAAGGAAACCTCTGGCCCCAAACTCTCTCTACCATGAGGCAGAAGCCAATGAGAAACCCAACAATCCTCCAAGCTAGCAGTCCCACAGAAGAAAGAAAAATTAAACAGAGAACATATCTGGACTCCACAATCCAATCCCTACAAGAGATTTCATTCCTTTATTTTATATTATATATTTCTTGGTCTCCTTCCAAGTTCTTAACCCTTAAGGCATTTTACAATATAGAAACAATAAAATTTAGTATCAAACAAGCTATAAAAGCACCCTACATTTTACCAATTTAAAATAAAAATGCTATTTCAAATACCATAAAACATGTCCATTTAAGTACACAGAGAACAACCAAGTCCATATATTTACAGAATCACTAAACTGGAAAGGGTCACTTAGAACACTGGAATTCAACCCCCTGCTTCATTCAGAGACATACATTATAGAAACTCAGAGCATTTAATGGCCCCTAGGCCATGCTGTGCTACTCTACAGTAGATCAATCTTTGGTATCAAAGCACTTAACATTGGCAGATGGGGAGAGAAGGGACAGCTAAGTGAAGTGAAATGTCTCTAACTTAGTTCCAGTGCTGTGCTTGGGAGACAGGAGGCTTAATGTGTGCCTGAGCTCCAGGTATTATCTCAGGAATATCCCATCAAGACCATGGGGAGCTAAAGGCATGGGAAACACCCACCTTTGCTGTTTCATTGTCCCAATCAAATGCAGACTGGTAATACCCAAGATAAAGAATATCACCTTTGATTTCAGATTCTGGGAAACACAAGGGGAGATACAGTGTCAGTAAGCAAACTGAAAGCTAGAATCTCAGGAGAGATTCCTCCACCCCAACTCCAATGATAGGCATGTGAGTTTGCAGCAGCAAAACAAACAGATGTGTAATACCTTAAAAATTAACTATTTATGTATGCATCAAGTCTGAGATCCTTGATTAAGCAACAACATTAAATGAGAAGTTTCATTTCTGCATTCTGAGGCAAAAAAGAGAATGTGCCAAACAGACTGTGTAATTCCACCACCACCATCAAGACTGCAAATTGGCCAACATTCAAATTAAGTCTTATCAGATTTACAGATGTTATTAGGCTGCACCCAGCACCGTCCCAAAAGATCCTGATCAATTGTTGGTCTCCTCATTTCTAGAAGCCTAAAATCCATGATTATGGAATACATGTTTCCAAACTTAGCCAAAACAATAAATTTCATTTTCCATAAAGCATGAGTTTGTACTAAAGGATGGAAGCTTGTTTAACTACACAGTGGGATTTTAAGATTTCAGAAACATATGTAGAGGCACAATTGTTTGCATATATTTTCATTCAAGCAAGCTTGGGAGAGTCCTGGATTCCGTCAAATTATCTGTAAGCTGCTTATATAATGAGATGGGCGGCGTATAAATTTGATTTATAAATAAATAAATAAAATACTTCTGCAATTAATAAGACTCTGTTTACACATATACAGACAACACCCACATGTCTACAACTGCAGCTTGAACAACAGGCTCATTCTTTCTTCCTTTAGTTCTTTATTAAAAGAAGCATCTTGCCTGGTGAAAAGTCCTTGAAACCATACTATAATTCTAATAGCCTAATGAAGTTATGGGTTTTAGATTTTTCAATCTGGACCACCAATCCCTTACACTTCAACCACATATGCAATAAAGGAGAAGATCAGTACCTTCTATGTGGTATTGTTGGATGTGTTTCCCATAGCAGAATTCATATGTCCACCAATCCTTAGTCTAAGAGAAAAGGGAAAAGTTAAAGATCATTAAAACAAGAACCCCTGAAATTAAAATTCACCTAAAAACAAAGGTCAGAAAACTGGTGCTTTCTTGGTGTTTTCACTTCAACTCCCATAACACTTAGCCCCGATCAGATTTAAGGAAAACTGCCTTAAAGCAGCAGCAGCAGCGAATTCTGCAGTCAGAAAACACCAGGCCACACAAACAAACAGGGTGAGCTTATAATGCACTAAATCTAGCTAAAAGATTTTAAATATTGTAGAATTAAAAAGTCAAGCTCTGCTTGGAAGAGGAGAAATGGAAAGGAAGTTATGGTAGTGAGTTTTTAGTTTGGCATTAAGATTCAACTGGCATATTCAACCTTCAGTTGAATAATGGGTAAGAGCAATTTAAAAATAGGTAAAGCTGAGCATCAGTTTATTTAAATATTATGACTTTTGGTAGCAGAAGTTCTCTAGGCACCCTTTTTTCAGGCATTTTTTTAGGTACTATTGTTATTGTTACAGGGAATAATCAGAAAGATCAATTCTTTCTAATAACAAAGACAATCTAATCTCTTGGTTGGGAACAACTGTGAAAAAAAAAAGTACATATCAGTATGGCATAAAGGAAGAAATGGCTGGTTTCACACCAAGCTATAGTTTACTGAATAAGATGCAAGGGCTGCATTTCCACAACATGTTTACTAAGGCCAAATAAGCTGCAAACATTTCCATGATGTGTGAAGCTACTTACTGTTGAGTTTGGACACTGGAAAACAAATGTATGGTCCCAGCACAGATTCACTGGGTGGCCTTTGGTAACTAACTTTTGATTTGAGCAGCCAATTCCTTCATTCATTAAAAAAAAGGACATCAAAGATTTATTTCCAAAGATTTGGGAGAGATTAAGGAAATAAGAACTGTAAAAGTATTTCACATTACTGTAAAGTGATTAAGAACAAAGGCAGCTTTTACTAAGCTGACCTCATTTTCTGTGTCATTAGATACTAAATCAGACTCACAAAATTATCGCTAATCTCCAGGATAGATATGAGAAAGCAGATCCCTTAACAAAGCCCATTCAATAAACATTAACATGTCTTTTGTTTGTGCTTAAGTCTCCCAATGCCCCCTTATTTTCAAACCCAGCCTAAACTTACTTTAATAAGGCATGGAGCTGCTTCCATTGGCTTCAGCAGTTCTGAGATCCCTAGTCCATTGTAACTCTGTGGATCTTCCTCTTTGTCTTGATGGATTTTCATTGCGGCAGCTGGTAATCGGCACTCATACTTCTGCTTGTATTTGGAAGAGATGGTTACTACATCAGTTGCCTTACTCTAAAGAGGAATAAAAAAGACAGGTGGATAATGCTGAGAATTAGTTTTAGGTAATAAGAAGGTAAGGGTAGCAAGTGTCAAAGGCACAGAAAGAGTGGGACTTGATGAGGGGAATTCTGTAATTTGGTTTTTTTCAGGCCCTTAAAAGTTATACCACAAATCTACGAAAAGCTATACTATGAATCTGCTCCCTCTTGGGTATTTTTCCCCTCAACATATTTATTTGTCTTCTGGAATCTTAAAAGCTGATCGTTCTGTTCATCTGCTTGCTCTTGGAAGTTCTGATAATATTTCTTTGACAAGGGGAGACCCACTGTGAGAATTCTGAAAAAAAATTAGACCTCATCCTTTCCAAACCCTGTGGCAAAGGCTCCAGAAATATTTCCATCTGATGGACTGCTAGGCTCAAATACTTGCACCAAGCTATTTCTGTCAGTTTTCATTTCACAAAATTAAAGAATGTACATATTGTGAATGCAGTTTGCATGCCAGATTGCAGACTGAGGACTCAAACAGGTAATCCACATCCAGATAAACAGGGAATGGATAGAGTCAGCACTATCCGCTGTTAAAAGAAAGCAATTTGAATCACATTAGGAAAAGCAGAGGCAGAACCCTGGAGAGGCTGGGTAAAGAATAGGGACTTCCATCTCCCCAACAACCTCTGAGGAAACCTGGAAAATTTGCAACCCCCAAGAAGGTGACACAATCCAGGAACCTGGAAGCAGAATCCTTTTGCTTTAGGAAGTCCTGCAGAAATACATTATGTATATTGTTTAGCTAAGAACACTGGGCTAGTTTTGATTTGTTTTCTATGTTGTGTTAAATCTAATTTTCTACACTGTATCCCCCATATGTTAGGGAATTCTTTTTATTAATATTTCAAACTGGTTTCTGGAAAAGGTGTTTTCCCTCAGTAAGATCTGATTAGTAATTAGAAATATTAATTTGGAACTCTCATTATGAAACAGACCAGTGCCAACTTATGTAATTGCCTGGAGAACTAGATTTTCTTTTATATCAAATTGCCAGCAGTATCATCATGCTTTGGGTAGACCTGTAATGTATCTTTTTCAATACTGAATGTTTGCATGTTTAATATTTAAAGTTAAAAGGGTTGTGAAAGCCCAGTTTCTCACATACACTGTGGGTAGAGGGTGGATGCCAGGTGCAAGACAGATGGTAGCAATGGCAACTATGAAGCCATTACTCCAGAACAGTGGAGGGGAGGGGAGTGTGTGAAAATCTCAGAGAGATTCTGAGAGAGATGATCTGAGACCTCCAGCATTTGACCTATGCGCTCAGCTATTCTGCTACAGTACATTTTTTAAAAGTGTTGTGCTATCTTTATTGCATATTTTCTTAACACAATGCTCTAAATCATTTTCAAGCATTCCAATTTATCAAACAGATTAGGTTAGCAAAAGGCTCTCATGCACTTTCTGAGCGAATAGTATCACAAGAGCCAATTATCACCATCATCTACAAATCTGGATTTTTTTTCAGTTTGATGATTAAACCAAGAATTAAGTTATGGAACCTCTCAGCTTTTATATACACTAAGTTGAGCACCTATATGATACACTAAGTCAGAGTTAGCTCAGTCTATCACTGAAGGAAAGAAAACTGCAAGTGGTAGGATCAAACTACTACCTCCTAAAGAAAAAACAGATGTAGGCAAAAAGTGTACTGCATATTGTATGTACTATGTTCTCATTTCAGGAGCACTCTATGGCAGCAAAGAATAAAAGTAGATATGAACTGAAATGTGACTAGAAGGTTTTTTAAGGTGAAAAAAGATAACCTGTTCATTATTTAAATGATATTTGGGGTGATGGGATGGATAAGAATTGGGCTTGAAAGATGTACGTATTTATCAGGGCCTCATTATGAAAGGATATCAGTGGCGAGGGGGCTATTGAGGAAATTCTGTAAAAGGATAGAATCTCTCCAAACCCAGTTTTCCCTGATCCATTTTCATAACACTTCAGGTTATGTAATCAAATTCGCAAGACACTAGATTGGTGGGCACACATTTTAGCTGATCCTAAAAATCAGCCTCCCAGAGCATTATATTTTGTCCAGCATGGGGACAACTTATACCAGGTTCATCCCATAACTTGGTGATACCAAATCAACACCAAGTTCTATACGTGGCATCTCTGTGCAGCCCTGTGGTCTCCTTGAAGCAAAATAAAACATTTTATTGTTGGGTCTAAATGTCGTCAGGTAAGGTCTCATTGATCCCTTACCAAACGTTCTATCCACAACCTCCTCAAAACTAGATCAAGAAGGAAACAAGGAATCCAATGTTTCTTATCCAAAACACTGGGAGAAGGAATGGAAGAAGGGAGGACTGGATTCAGCACCCTCCTGCCCATGGGACTGTTTAAGCTTTTTTTTTTTTAAGCTAGCTGATGAACTTCTTAGGAAGTTTCATGCTTATTATCACATTCCGTGGGTTCTCTGCACTTCAACAAGGGTACACTACACACAAGCTCTAGGAGCACAGAAGAGGTTTAGATATACATCAAATACTTTCCTAAACTGACAGATCCCCAGTGCCTCAAATGAAGCCATACTTAATGATCTTCAGCAAGATACAGCATTAATACAATATTCATCTTTTGTTCTTAATATAAAACCAGCATCTTACAGAAAACATTGTTTGTTGTTCAGTCGTTAAGTCGTGTCCGACTCTTCGTGACCTCATGAGCCATATTGTGCCAGGCCTTCCTGTCCTTCACTGCCTCCCTGAGTTTGCTCAGTTT